TATGTATAGAATTTGCTCGACGTCTTAGCGCCGACTTACTACCGCTGTTGAAAGCATTAAAAGTTACCACAGTGCATAGTCCAAACGCATGCAGCAGAGCTTTCTGACAAGATTTCACAAGATGTGGCTATATCTATTTAGATTTTGTGCTGTTTTAGTCAACCAACCAACCTAGTCTCTGCCAGTAATGCCAATGTGTAGAAGGGAACTTCTTTCTCAATATCATGCGAAACATAAGGTAAATTGAACTTCTGATGCGTCCACTGTATCCGAACTGGCATCCGTTAAAAATTGCAGGATCAAATTGAATACCGCTGGAATTTTTGAAAATTTTGCCAACCTCGCCGATGAGTTGCTGCATTCACTCATTAGCAGGGCATAGTTACTGCTTACCATTCGAGTGCACCGAAGTTGATGGATTGTGATAATTCGCGCGTGGTGTGCGTTTTGCCTGCAGCGGCAAAGATCATTGCAAATTTAATTTTAAATCGCTTGGCAGAAGATCTAAATTAAATTTCGAGCAGTGCGACAAATTAAGAGCAGAGGAGCTCTTCTCAAACGAGTTAGCGACAATTTCCGGATTGCTATCGTACGATGTCAACGGGGGAAATTAATTCCTGTTTTAGAATATCCTCACTTACTTGGATTTGAAGTTTGTTGATTTTGAAAGAACTAAGTGTGCCAGCGAAGTCTTGTGGCGACGAGTTGCCCTCCGGCCACACTCTAGAGACTTTTAGGAATTTCACATGCCCTGCCAGCGAAGTTGCGCCCGGTGGCGGTACAGACGAATATATTGACCGCCGAATTAGTAAAGCCAGAGTTAAGTTTAATGTGATGAACACGGTGTGACGAAAGAACAAGTCCAATGTGACTTCGAGACTGCCGTATGACAGTTCATCTCTAGCAGAGACTAGATATATGTATATGTATCGTCTAGTATGTAGCCTTCATGATTGTTATATATATTGTATGTATATGTATATTGTTATGTTTGGCCAAGCTTTTCCTTAGATTTGTGGCGTGCGCCTTGTTGTTGGCACACACATGGGGGACTACAGTTTTACGACGACTCCGAACGGCGATTATATTTTTATAAGAACCTGTTTTTTCATGGCAGAAATATAAAGGAGGTTTGCCTTTGCCAGCCCAGGGGCGACCGCTGTTAAGAAAAATTATTTTTTCTATATTTGCGAAGCTGCTTTGACCAGTGCTTGAACCCAGGCCCTGCGCAGTGATGCGCATACTGCTAACCACTACACCACAGCGGCCGGCCTCTATGTAGTTATGTATATCAATTAGGGAAGTATCAGAGTTATTCACCTAATTCAATTAACCCTCAATGCCCGAACTAACTCTTCCATTTGAAAATTTATAATAAAGAAGTTAAAACATAGATATGTTTTCTTTTCCTCTCTTGTTCATAAACACAAAAGACAAAATACAAAACAATTTATTCGCCTTCAGTAGCCTAAGTATGTAATTGTATTTCATAGGTATACTCACCCGAAATGACGCTTTTTCTGCTGATGCGATGCCAATTGCCTATGACAATGGAAAGCTCTATCACAAACATTGCATGTCAGAGATTCATCTGCGAATAAACAAAAAAGAAACTAGGTAAAAAATCTACAATCAATAAAAGAGAAGGTCTTGCATGAATACGAAAATATTTATGTTCGCAATCTCAACATTTTTTTAAATGGCTTCAAACGGCTTCAAAAAAAGGTTGTCAATTCGTCTGAATAGTTTTTTTATTTTTTTTATGTATGTTACTGCATAACTGATTTCTATAATTCTTTTTTTAAAGCAAAGGTGTTACCTCAAGGATGGTACTGTGCTAAGTTGGTTTAGATCCGATCATTGGATGTTGAAGAAATTAACGATAATCTTAAATTTTTATAAGGGAATTGAAGTCGGTTTTGTTTTGCTTTAAAATTAAAGTTTAAGTTAATTAAAGGTTTTTTTTTCTAAAATTCAAACTGTTTGCTTACTTTGGAATACGTTTCAAGATCTTCTGCGAATGTTTGCAACGGAAATTCACAGCAATTACAGCAGACTATAAAGTATTTCTGGTAATTAAAAAAAACAACATTGTCTTATTTAACTATTTTAAGCCCCTTTCTCAAATCAGATTGATTCCTATCTTCGATTCATTTATGTATTCTATTAAAATAATCGTCCGTTCAACCAATGCTCTAGTACTTAACCACCTTCATTATTATTTATGACTAATATTCTATATGTATGTAAATCTGCTTTGCTCTTTGGTACTCACCATAATCATCATCATCTGACATCGCCATCGCCTGCAAGCGGTTAATAGTATTCTCGTTGACTACTTTTTGCCTTTGTGTCGCCGATGAATTCGATTTAGAGGCAGCACCAACATCACCTCTGCATAGACCTGTCATAACATCTAAATCACACACCACGCCACCATTTACGAAATTTCCCTGACAATCGGGCAGTGTGCAGGAAATCATTTTGGCATCAAGAGCAGCTACACTCCCACTATCACCACCACATCCTTCTCCATCTCTGTCATCGTCCGGACCATGCGAACATGTAGCGCTGCCATTACCATTCATGTTGCCATTTACATTGTTGTGGCTACAACTGCTATCTGATGTTATTATTTTGAAGTTATCGTAATCTTCGAAAGGATCATCGATTTTGTGTTTGTGCTGTGAACTGGCGTCATCAGAATCAGCGCTGAGGCGGCCGTACGCCTTGCGAGGTGGACGTTTTACATATTTATCTGTAAGTTAAAAAATGCTAATATAGATTTTTGTAGATTTGTTGGTAGGTAAATTTACATTTGCATAGATAAGACTAGTGAAAAATATGTATAATTGAAAAATTTTGTAAGGTACACTGAGGAATACCGAAAAATAACAGGACAATCCGTAGCACCATTAATTATAATAAAAGTAAAAGATACAGAGAACAGGGCATGAATCACGTAACTTTGAAACGATAGTCGTTCAAACGATACTGACAAAGCGATGTTGTCAAAACACTGATTTATGCATTTGTGTTGCTGTTACGTGTCACTGTTACTGTTACGTGAAGCAAAACTGGAATCGAGTTGACGATATCGCACAAACGATCAAACAATTTTTGATTTTTATGAAGCAAGAGAATCTCGACACGATATCGTTCAGACGATTGTCGTCATACGTGATTCATGCCCAGATCTTTTTGTTTTCAAAGTTTTTAGATTGCACAGTGCAACACTTAAAAAGTGATGGAAATGAGACCAATTACAATCTATAAATGAGGTCAAAATATGAACAAATATCAAAGCATTTGCAAAAGTTGGTTCCCATTTCCTTTTTATATCGATTTCAAGTTGCTAATTTCAGGTTCAAAAATAAACAAGTTCTATGATTTTCTCTTTTTGGTTTTGCTCACCAATTTCATACCAACATACACATATTAACATAAGTATATACTATACATACATTTATTTAATAAAAAAATTTCAGTTGAACATTGAGCTGTGCCAAAAACTCCTCCCATGTCCTCCCCTTCCCGCTCCGTCAACTTTGCAAAATGTGTTTTTATACCCGAGCCCACTTGTGCACAAGGGTATTATAACTT